AAATTCAACTGCAAATCCAAAAAAATAAAGAAAAAGCTGTGTAAAGCATACATAAGACAATGATTTACAAATCTCACAAACCCACATTTTATTCACAATGGAACGTAGTAAACATATCGGTACCACTTCACAATAAGGCTCCCCTTATAGATGGATAATAAATAGTTTATAGATACATTATCAATTCCTCTAAAAACAATTTATAATCACTAATAACTGTTTATTATGCATTAATTAAGGGTGACAAAGAGACAAAACAGACCAGTTTCTTGTCAAATCTGCCACCTATATATTTCATCTACGGATTTTATATTAAACATTTTACACTAAATTACTACCTTGTGAGCCCAATAAGTATTTGTAAACCTATTTCTTTAGTATATAATATTAGTTGTAGATACTTACACTGCAGTGATAAAGTACAATATTATATGCTAAAGAAATAGGTTTATAGTTGGCAAGAAACTGGTCAGTTTTGTCTGTCACCCTTAATGAATGCATAATAAGCAGTTATTAATGATTTATAAAGTGTTTATAGAGGAATAAATAACATTATTAACTATTTATTAGCCATCTATAAGGGGAGCCTTATTGTATTATCTTATTATTATCTTAGATCATATTACTGTTTTTCTTTTACATTTTATTGTTTGATGTAACTGGGACCCTGTGTACATAATTTCGTTCCACCACGTTACCAGATGTGGTGCGAATGACAAATAAAGAAACTCTGACTCTAACACTCTCTAACTAACTTATTGTAAAGTGGTACCAACATATTAATAGTTTAAGAAAAAGTACAATCTGGGGGGTGGGGGAGGAATGTGTTGGTTTTGGTTTTAATGTCAGCATGTTAGGACAGGAGCAACAAAATACTAAAAGTAAGTTATGAATAAGAAACAGCTGCAGGAGCATTTTGCAGCTAAATATGTTCATTTGGAACAGGTTTGTACAGACTGGGTAAAGAAGGGGCTTCTTAAAGGCAGTATCTCTCCGACGTAAAGTCAAAATGTTTCTCAGATGAGAAGACTTTAAGTATCCCATGAGTTACAGTTCATGATCTCATCAAAAGATTTCAAGAATGGAGAAATCTCTGAGCTCAACAGACCAGGCTGCAAGTCAAAGTTGGAAACTCGAGAAATTCAGGCTTGCAGGCATATATATATATATATATA